CCAGCGCGCCGCCTGCACGCCTCCTCCCGGGGACGGGGAGTCCCCGGCCCCTGGGCCTGGGAGCGCCCCTGACTGTAAAGGCCCGGGAAGTGGGATAACATCTGAGAGCTTTATTTTATTCACTTATTTTAAAGATATACTTTTATTTCAGAGAGGAAGAGAGAGAGGGAGAGAGAGAGAGAAACATCAACTGGGGATGGAGCCTGCAACCTGGCCATGTGCCCTTGGCCAGAACTGAACCCGGACCCTTCAGGCCCTAGACTGAGCCAAACGGGCCGGGGATATCCTTAGAGCTCGAAGGGTCCAGAGGTGCACCGTGTGTGTGTGTGTGTGTGTGTGTGTGTGTGTGTGTGTGTGAGGGGGGGGTTCTCTGGTCCCCTCCCATGTTAACTTCTCTCAGGGCCGCTGAGAGCTCCTGTCCACGGGAAATAGCTGCTTTGGTAGCAGCTGGTCTGTGGGTTAACCCTCCACTGAAGCTGGTGACACACTCACTCTGCCCCCGCACTGCATTGTGAATTGTAGTCACTTCCTGTTCTTATGAGCAGAAATGCCCTACCGCATGGTTACTTGTTAAAAAAGAAAAAGAAAAGAAAGGGGAGAGGAAGAGAGGGGTGGGGAGAGGTGGAGAGGGGAAGAGAGGGGAGGGGAGGGGAGGGGACGGGAGGGGAGGGGAGGGGAGGGGAGGGGAGGGGAGGGGAGGAGGAAGGCAGAGCTTGGCTTTTGCAGGCTCATTGGTGGCTGCTCAGAGATAAAGCCTCTCCCTGCGAGTCAGCTTTCAGGAATTCTCGGTTTGTCTGTGTTGTGTTACCCGAGTAGCTTGTTATCTTTGCAGCTTAAGGGCTGACTGGGAAATTCAGACTGTCAACTATTTAAAGCACATGGAAGTCCCCTCTCCACTATTTCATTAACTCTCAGAGAGCGAGGCTGCCTACTGGTTATGATACCGTTAACTTAAAACATTCCCCAGGAAGCAGGGCAGGGAGCAGAGCGGCATGTTTAAGGGCCTTGTGGGAAGAGGAGCTGAGGAAGCCAGGCAGGCAGGGCGGCGGAGGACAGGGAGGAGGCCCGCAGAGCTCAGCAGCTATGGGAATGGAATGGATAATGCAGGCTCGGAGCGCCTTACGCCTGGTGGGCTGCTGGAGGGTGGTCTGTGCGATGAGAGAGATAAGAAATTGATGGAATCAACTGCAAACATGCAGTTCCCATCCTGGGGTGGTGCCGGCCTTAGAGCTGACCTGGGACTCACTGGCCATGTGACCACGTCTCCTAGGCCTGCAGTTGTCATCTGCTCACTTGTTAAATGCAGATCAAATGCAATCAAGGTGGATGTATTAAATAATGACGTAAAAAGCACTCAGAAATATACACACTTGCTTTTATGGTTAAGTTGGGAGGAGGAGAATGAGCAGTCTGGGGGTTGATAAAAAGGACAAAATAAGGGAGCTGACAGATGGAGAAAGGATGGAAGGATGGACGGGCAGTCCTTAGAGATGACACAGAGGGAGGGGTGGTGTTACTCGAGGGCAGGCAGTGGAGGAAGAGGCAGCTGGGAGCCGGGAGCAGTGGAGTGCAACCGGACACACTCAGCTGGAGAAGAGGGAGACAGCCACAGAGGTGGTGGGCCAGAGCAGCCTCCATGTGCTCGGACTGACAAAGCCATATTGTCCTGCTCTGGGAAGAGTGTGAGGCCTCTGGTCTATGTTTCAAGCTCAAAGCAAACTCAGCGGAGTTCTAAAAGCCAAAAGCTGCAGCCATGTGTGAACAGGAGTCAGGGGAATGTAGAACTGCCCAAGGCCTCCTTGCTGGAGCTGTTTCCTGTGAGGGAGGCCCTGGTGCACCCGCATCCTCCACCCCGGGCTGGGCTGCTCGGTCCAGGCGTTCAGATGGCACTGGGATGGCTACGAATTTTGTATAACTGTAATTTAGCGGTATCAAGGGTGGATACATTTCATTTCAGCACTTTGCTTCCTTTAAGGAATTCGCCTTTGCTTGCTTCTACCTGAGAAACATCCCTTAAGAAAATAATCACAGGTAACCACAGTCCCAACTATACAAACTATACAACTATTCAGCATTATTAATGCTAGCAAAAAAAATGAGAAACAGTTCGTATTTGAAATAACAGGGAAGTGGCAAATTGTGTCCATCAAATTGATGGAATATGAACGTGGCAATTGCAGGAACTATTCTAAGCACTTTGTAAATTTTAATGCATTTAATCTTCATAGCAATCTTATAGGTAGTATACTGTTACTATGCCCCATTTTACAGATGAGGAAACTGAGCCTTTGAGAGTTTAAATAACTTGCTCAAGATTATGCAGGTAAAAAAATAAAAAAGATAAGAAAAAGTTCTAGCTGGTTGTTCAATGGTTAGAGCATTGGCCCTTGGACGGAAGGGTCTGGGGTTTGATTCCTGATCAAGGGCATGTACCTCAGTTGTAGGCTGGATTCCCACCTGGATCAGGGAGAGTACAAGAGGCAACCAATCAATGTGTCTCTCTCACCCTGATGTTTCTTTCTCTCTCCCCCACCCTCCCTTCTACTCTCTCTAATAATCACTGCAAAAATACCCTCAGGTGAGGATTAAAATAATAATAACATTACACAGGTAACCAGTAACAGACCTGGGATTTGAGTGAGGCTGTCTGGTTCTAGCATCTTTGATCTAAACATGGTACAACATTGCACCAAGGTATTTTATTTTGCCTGATTTTCTTAAATTAGTTTTATAACAGCGTTATGGAGATAAAATATATCTTCTCCACTCAGGGGAACCAGATAGGGCAAGGGTGATAGCAACTCAAACTCTGTTTCATTATAAACCCAGTGACCAAAGTTCACATTTCCCGTTCGTCCTCTCGTCAGCAATAACCAAATGACAATTTACAACATCTTTCCACATCATTCATCTTCTCAAACCACAGGCAGCCTTGCCTGGGTTGCTCTGTGGTTGAGTGTCAACCCATGAACCAAGAGGTCACTAGTTTGACTCCTGGTCAGGAAACAAGCCTGGGTTTGGGGGCTCGATTCCCAGGAGAGGGCATGCAGGAGGCAGCTGATCAGTGTTTCTCTTTCATGGATGTTCTATCTCTCTACCCCTTCCCCTTTCTTTCTAAAATCAATAAAAATATATTAAAAAGAATTTTAAGAACCACCCTGCAAAGTTGCTATTTCATTAATCCGGATTTATAGATGAGAAAACCGAGGCCCAGAGGGACAAATGGCTCACTCCAGGGCCTGTTGCCAATTTCTTGACTCGCAATCCCATGCTCCTGTTGTTCAGCATGACAGACAATGTCAATCCATGTCCCCGTCACTCCAGCCCAGCAATCACTCGGGACCCCACCAGGACCACGCTGAAGTGAAGAAAAGGGACTGGTTTGGGCTTGGCCAGGCTAACGGGCCAGCCTGCAGCCTTAGGCCCAGAGTTCTGGAAGACCACAGAATGCTCCTCTGAGCCTTACAGCGTGTGGAACCCCCTTTCTCTCCTGTTCTTTCCCCTGACACACAGTGGGCTTCTTCAGACCCACCTTAATCCCAGAGTCTCGTTAGAGGTTGCCGAGAGATGGGACAGGATGACGATAATGAAGAGGGCAATAATGGTATTATAGTAATCAATGATAAGAAAAGCATAATATGCAAATTAGGCCAGACATCCTTCTAGACAAAGCGGGGGCTCCGAGGGAAGCCCGGGTCCCGAGTGCCAGAGGGAAGCCGGTGCCAGCAGTCAGGGAAGGAAGGCCTACTCTGCACGAATTGTGTGCATCTGGCCTCTAGTTAAAAATAATAGCGAGAGTGTAGAGAGCTCACTGCAGGCCAGAGGCCGCCTGGCAGTGTCTGCAGACACCGAAGCCCACCACCATCCCCGGTTGGGTGCCGGTGTGCTGAGGGAATGAGCCAGAGGTAGTGAGCCAGGGAGGAGGTGGGGGAGGCAGGGCTGGCCACCTCACTGCAGAGCACTCAGGCTGGGGCCTCCTTCGTAAATCACTCCAGACTCAGCCCCACGCGCATTCCTCTCATATCTGATCTTCCCGGGACCGGCTCCCCCTGGAGAGAGCGCAGGGAGGACCCAGAAACCAATCCATCCTCCCTTTATCTCCTGACATTTCCTTTTAATTATGAAAATGCTGTTGCCTGGTTTTCATAATTCCTACAGACACATTTCCTAACCCAGAAAGACTTTAAAACACGGTGAGCACACACGGAGCTGGCAGGAGCGGTGGGCGGGTTGTGCACCCCAGTCGTCCTGCCAAACCTTAGAGGCAGGCAGACTCCGGGCGTGGGGGCTGGGGGAAGAGCCACTCTGGGCTGGAAGGTGGGCTGGAAGGCATTAACTCGCACCAGTCCCTAAGGGGCACAAGCCCAGAGGCCTGGCTGGGAGCGCAGAGCTGATCTGTAAATAATCTGCGGGAAGTCTGCGGATTCGAACATTAACTCGCAGAGGCAGGCTTCCCGCGGTGACGGGCCCATGAGTGATTGGCCCCTGGTCCCACTTCCAGGCAGAGGCTAAAGCCAAACCCTGGGAGCAGCCAGCCGCAGCCAGACCGAGTCTCGGCGGCCACACTACAACTGTTGGGTCAAGTGTGTGCAGGGTGAGGCGGGGGCAGCTGCAGACAGAGCCCAGTAATCCCTAACACAGCAGCTGACGGGCTCATGCTCTCTGTGTTTATGGTCTAACTCTTCAAACACAGGGTTATTATACGTTTCAAAAATCAGCACCGGCTCCCAAGGCTTTGTATAGCTCGCTTTGTCGTGTTAACAGACGACAGAAAGTGGAACTTGGAGGGCCTCTCATTACAATTCACTGTCACTCTGGCCTGAAAAATGGTAAGAAAGCTTCGTCGCCGGATTTGTTAACGGGAGAATAGGTCTCTATTCGAAGAGGGCAGCGGTCTCAGCCTCATGCCTGGGAACCTACTTTCTTTTGATTTTGCATGCGTGGTTATTCAAAAAAGCAAAAAGAGACTCACAGTAACATCAGGGAAGAGAGCACTTTACCTGGTGTAATCCCCTTTGGCTTCCTGGAATAAAGCAGAGACAGACGATCAGTGTGTGTGCATGTTAATTACGCTAAAAGGTAGATTTTACTGGCCTTTACCCTCTCACAGTCCCCCGTTCTGCTTTATTTGGAAGAACGTACACAGAGAACACTTTCTGTGACCACCGGGAAGAACGTGGCATGGATCAGAAATCGCCGGTAGCCAGGAAGAGACAACTGTCTCCTTTAAAGCACAGCCGATTATTTCTCCTTGTATGCTCCTAAGAGCACGTGGGGAATGCTTGCCTATGGGAGCGGCGCCCCTTTAAAACCCCGAGCCAGGTCCATCAGACACGCTGTTCACCCTTTTTAAGCCAGCGTGGAGCAGCAAACTTTGTGGTTTGGGTTTTTGTTTTGTTTTGTTTTGTTTTAGCTACCAGTGCTCTTTAACCCAACCTCAGGAAAGTGTCTACAGAAGTCACCAAACTTAAATGCAGATTATGGCCCTCCTAACAACGGCCGGCCGCCTCCTGAATTCCAGGCCCGGGAGCCCTTCCCACTCTTCCTCCCTCCGGAGCAGCCTAAACTTCCTTTTCCTTTGCGATCCAGTCTCTCCCTGCGGCTCACGCAAACTGTGCTCAAACAGAAAACGGTGGCTCCCATTTTTCATTGGCAAACAATCAGCTGGCTTACAGACCATCCGCCACTGGCCCACGCAGAAGTTTCCGAGTGCGGCCGTTCACAGAACCAACAAACAGAGGGAGCGGTCGGGCTTACCTGCAGAGCCAGCGCCGCTAGCCTGAAGACGGTCTCGCTGTCCACCTCGATCTGCCCCTGTGGGGAGAGAGCACCGTGAACAGCCGCCCTCCTTGCAGCAAATGCGGGAGCCAGGAGCTGTCACCGCTTGGCACCTCCGTCTGCGATCAGAGGCAGAGCATACCATTGTGTGAGAGGGAGGGGGCGGGCAGGGCGCCTGCAGGGTTAAGAGGAAGCCACATTGTGTGCGTGGTGTGTGTGTGTGTGTGTGTGTGTGTGTGTGTGTGTGAGAGAGAGAGAGAGAGAGAGAGGCGGGGGAGAGGGGAGGGAGAGAATTAGCTGTGAGAGTTTGCTTAGAAAGCACTTCTGGAAGGAACATGAATGACTTTGAGGCTGAAAATCCAGGCACCGTATAAAACAATAATTGTTACCTCTACAGGTTCATTTTTAAACTAAAGATTTTCTTAGATTAGTTAAGTGTTTTCCTGAGAAATTTTTTCTCTGAGCCATAGCATGCTTATTTTGGTATATACACAATGTAAATATTTAAAAAACTATATAAATTCATGAGGTATCACCTCACACCTGACAGAATGGCTACCATCAATAAATCGACAAATGACAAGTTGCTGGAGAGGATGTGGAGAAAAAGGAACCTTAGTACTCTGCTGGTGAGAATGCAGACTGGTGCAGCCACTGTGGAGAACAGTATGGAGTTTCCTCAAAAAAACTAAAAATGGAACTCCCATTTGACCCAGCAATCCTACTTCAAGGAATATATCCCAAGAATCCTGAAACACCAATCAGAAAGAATGTATGCACCCTTATGTTCACAGCAGCATAATTTACATTAGCCATGATCTGGAAACAGCCCAAGTGCCCATCAGCTGATGAGTGGATAAAAGAGCTCTCCACCATGGAATGCTATGCAGCCGGAGAAAAGAAGAATCTCCTACCCTTTGAGACAGCATGGAGGGGCCTGGAGAGCATTATGCTAGGTGAAATAAGCCAGCTGGAGAAAGACAAGTATCACATGATCTCACTTATGTGTGGAATCTAATGACAAATAAAATAGATCCAGAGACATGGATACATGGAACAGACTGACGATTCTCAGAGGAAAGGGGCAGGGCGGGGACGGGGGCTGAAAGAGATTAACCAAAAAACATGCATGCATATATGTATAACCCATGGACACAGACAACAGAGTGGTGAAGGCCTGGAGAGGGAGTGGAGGGGGTCAATGGGTGAAAAAAGGGACATCTATAATACTTTCAACAATAAAGATAAAACATAAATTCACTTCTGTGATGATACATCATTGCATTAATATTTGTACCATTATAGATAAAATGTAAAGCCTTAAAAAGCAGCTACATCAGCCCTGGCCGGGATGGCTCATTTGGTTGGCGTGTGTCCCATGCAAAGGCTGAGGGTTTGATCCCGTCAGGGCACACACCTGGGTTTTGGGTTTGGTCCCTGGATGGGGCAGGTATGGGAGGCAACCAACTATGTTTCTCTCTCCCTTCCTCTCTCTTAAATTCATGAACAGATCCTCGAGTGAGGATGTTTTTTTTTTTTTGTTTTGTTTTTGTTTTAAAGCAGTTACAGCAAATGCTTCAAAGACTAAAATTCTGTTGCTTTATGTTGAAGTTTGATGAGACCTAATTTACCATTTTTCCATTGTTTTATTTTTTCATCCTTCAAGATCTGAAATTACAATAGTAGTTCTGGGTCTCAGTAACAGAACTGCTGTTTCAGTAGCCTGGCTACTGACGGAGGGGGAATTGCTTCTGTTAATAACACTCAAATACACCTTCATTTATTTTATTGATTATAGTGATATATGTAAATACCATTACTGCATTACGTAATAGATTGCAACAATACGTGGTTTAGCAGGATCTCTGTTTAAAATTGTTTGTGTGCATGACATTCTAGCTTGTAGGCACACACACACACGTAAAAATAATTCTACGCCACCCACCCCCTGCCCAGTCCCCGGACAAACAACCTGAGGGCGCCGTGTTCCCTGCTGGCGCTCCCGGCCCGGGCATCGCCCTGCACGCTGTCCCCCTTCTCCCTGGGATCCAGGCTGAGGCTTCCAGGGCCCCAGCGTGCCAGGGCGGGGCGAGGAGATAGGAGTGAAGGCACCCGCAGTGGGTCTACAGAAGCAGTGCGCCGGGGGATGTCTGGGAGGGTGATGCTTTTCTCTCGGGTTTCTGAGGGATTTCACTGCAGTTTCCCAAAACAGAACAAATCGAAAGCCACAAAACGACACCAAACCCCAGGACGCTGCGATGTCAGCAGAGGCCATGTCCCTGCTCCTCTATGTCACATCCACTCCATTTGCCAGCATCTAGTGTCCCTGCCGGAACCCGAGGCCGTGAGCTCCACAATCGCCTGTGACCTCTCGAACCCAAGCACGCAGTCAAAGGGAAGCCGGGCCCCGGGCGGATGGACGCCTCTGTCTTTCAGGCAGGAGACAGTGGCTTTCTGCTGGAAGATGACGGAGCAGGGACACCGGCAGGTGAGGGGGGTGCTGCCCAACAAGACCTCTCAGAAAGCTTCAGTTCCTTACTTTCAAAGTAAAGGAGCTCAGGCAGAGTGAGGGCAGACTCTAAAATGTCTCTGAACTTGCCATTCGGCTGACACTCAAAGTCAAACTGTCTTAAAATCTCAGCAAAGAGAAAAAGTGAATGATTTTGGGTATGAAAATGACTAAAACTGAATAAAATATACCGAAAATATTTGCCAACCGTCTGATACCTCATGACCCACTCGGCCTCCTAGGACCTCGGGTGAGTTATCCAAACAGCATTTTGGACACCAACTTTCCAACTGAGCGGACGGCAGGGCAGCAGATAGAAGTCCTCAGACAGATACCCTAAGGACGCTGCCAGCGAGTCTCCACGCGGAGGGTCAGGTCGTTAAGTATTAAAAGGCTGGAATGTGGAGCTGGGCCTGGGCGTACCAGGCGGGGACAGCCCGGAGAGGAGGGGTGCTCCCGCTCACCCCTCACCCACACAGTTCTGGGGGAGGAGGGAGGATGGGGTGGAGGGACCGGACCTATCAGAATCCAGGGGAGAGAGGGTACGGATTTGGCAGCGCCTCACGTTCCTCAGCCCCCATCTCGCCCTCCGGTTGACCTCTGTTCTGGAAACTCAAGGCAGCCTATACTTTTTTTCTGTGGAGTTCACCAAGCCATGGGGCAATCGGCAATAATGCTATTTGCCTGGTTCTCAGCAATGCCTTGAGGTAAAATGTAAGGAAAACTTAGGTGGAATTGTATAATTCCATGCCTGAAATGGGAAAGTTCTTTATGGTGGAAGCTGGGACAGAACATGCCTCCTATAAGCACGGCAGCGGCGGTAACCCTATAGGCCCGGCAAGCTAACACTGAGAACCGATCTCCTCCAGGAGCTCGGAAACGGGATCCCTGGCTGGCGGCACAAACAGGGGAGCGGCGAGCAGGCGGATGAGGTGGCCGGAGGCACAGGGTCACCGGGAACAGGACCCAGCTCCCTCGGTAACCTGACCGCAACGCGGGGTCCATCGCCGGGTCACTGGGACCGTCCACATGGGACACCTTGTTTTCATCCTGGGCTTGTTGGCTGAGTTGATCAAAACATCACCCAATGTGATGAACTCTAGGTTTTTGCTTCCAAAATAGGAGAACAGAATTTTAAAAAGTTTTAGAATTTGGGAGTGAAATTAGTGAAACTCTGACGCCGTGGTTTTCGGATGCTGTCACTCCATGGGGACATGACCCAATCCCACAGCCGGTGCCCACGCTGGCCCCCGGCCCAGCTCTTGTCCACTCTGCTGGACGCTAGTCGACTTGCTACAACTCCAGTGCCAACAGCTCACCAGGAATCTCCAGGAGACATGCTTCGGTAAAAACTGGAGCCAGGGAGGTCAGAAAAGTGACTCCAAATGCCCCCTCTGCTATTGGGGGACAGTGTGTCGTCATCAAGCACCCACACTCGTAGTCAAACGGGGAAATTACTTCTGATCCTCGTTCTGCCTTTCCCGTGTCCATGGTGCTCTCCGTGGTTCTGCACCGAACCAAAGAGAGTCCTCAGCGCCTTTGGACGGAGAGAAAGGGCTTCTTGACATTGGTTGCCAGTTGTGTCCATTGTTGAGGTGCACTGGTCTTCGGGGTCTGGTTAGAGAACCACCCCCTGGCAAGAACGATGCCTTAGGCATTGCCTAGTTGCCCTCCTGTGGTTTGCCACGAGGCCTGCACACAGTGCGAAGGCAGATGTGGTAAGGACATGAGGGAGCTGGTGGGTGAAGCTCCCTGGAGCCTCTCTCCCTCTGAGGACACAGTTCTGTGCAGGAGCCCCAGCGGGCTGGGGGGCCCGGATCTGTGAGCTGACTAGTTTTTGGACAATTAGCTAGCAGAGGGGCCATGGCAACACTTCATATCTACCTACTGTCTAACAAGGCAGTTTCTAAAGCATGTGTTTGTACTGATTTCAGAGAGGAAGGGAGAGGGAGACCCATCAATGATGAGAGAGAATCATTGATCAGCTGCCTCCTGCACACCCCACACTGGGGATGAAGCCTGCAACCAGGGCTTGTGCCCTGTCCAGGAATTGAACCGTGAGCTCCTGGTTCATAGGTCAACGCTCAATTATTGAGCCACACAGGCCGGGCAAGGCAATTCTTATCATGCCCACAGCTACCACATGTGTACCCCGTCCTCCCCATGTACAAATGAACCAAAACTTCCTCCTTGCTGTCCAAGCTGGTTGTGGGAGGTCATGCTTATGGAGGATGGATTCAATGATCTATTGCCTGTTCTTTTCTAAATCAGGGTTTTGCAACCGTGGCACAACTGACATCGCGAGCTGGGACCTTCTTTGCTGAGGGCTCTTGTGCTTTGCTGGGCGTGAGGCAGCAGCTCAGACTGAGCCCTGACGGCCAAACGTGGGCAAAACTGATCCACTTCATTCTAAATTTTCTTTTCAGATTAAGCTAGAATCACCTGAAACCTACAGAATTGAACCACAAGGTTTGCTGCAGATAAAACTGTATTTGGTACTGTGCTTGGACATTCCTCCACTGGCTTC